TCAGAGCCCAATAAGTAGTAGTTCCAATTTGGGGCCTGAGGGATACGTTCTATACTTTTCTAGAGCCCAATAAGTAGTAGTTCCAATTTGGGGCATGAGGGATACATTCTATACTTCTCTAGCTCGAATTTCGTATTATTTGGTGTAAAAATCAATGTAGATTCATGTAAATAAGCTATAGAAGTAATTAGGATTAGTACCTTAGTAGTTTAAGATGATTCCTCCATCGCCTCAAACTACTGAGTTTCTAGTCCCCAAATGTGAAAACTAAGGTCTGAAATTTGTTATGATATTGTGGAAATGAATGGGTTGGAACCTATCGCCACTGCGGACCAAACTTCTAGAATCGTGGTCTGGTCAGGCGGTCGGCAAACTCAATGTGCGATCGCCGTTCCCAATCTCGCGATCACGGGGTTCCATGATTCCACAAGGTCCGGTATTGCGTTCAACCCTCCCTTGATCGTGGCCGGTCAACTGTCTCCCCGCCAACCTTTCTCTCGCGATCGCGGCTCCCAACTCGTGATCGGGATGATGCCCCAGAAACCAAATAAATAGTGCTTGCACTAGTGCTCAGCCTTCCAAATGTTCCAAAACATGCCCGAACCCCTTGGATCTCAACCCAAACCACACCAACAAGTCATAAACAGTTAGATCAACATATAAACACATTCAAAACTCAAATTAGAGCACTAATACTAAAAATGGGAGGTCGAGTTGTTACAATAGTGGATAGGTTTCTATGGATATGGCAAAATCTACTTAAATCACCTGTTAATTCCTATTATGAGAAGCTTCTGAGTAGGGAAGAGTCAACTTTTCCACTTATATCATTATATGAGCATGTTTTTGCCTTTCTTTTAATGAATTTTATTGCTTTATAAAAACATCACCTGGTGTTGCTTCTTGGGATTTGAACCTTAGTTCTGCAGGTTGTTACTCTACCGCTTCGACTTCTAGACCATCCCCTTCGGGGCACTCTTTCTGAATTATTCCGATAGGAGAAGTGAGTCAGTTTCTCTGACCAAGTAGGATATTCCGTTGGTATTAGCAGTGAAAGCTCTGATCATGTTTTCTCCTACATCCCTCAGGACTCCTGCACAACTGAGAGGAGTGCACTGAATCTGTTTTTGGTGCTTTTAACATTTCAAAAATGGAGGCAACTTCACTTGTCAAAAATAATTGAGGCCACTTAAGTAGAGATCATAGTAAGTAAGCAGGTTAAGAAAACTGAGAACTGTCAGATTCATCAACCAGATGAAGACCAGAATATTTTTTGATGAAGCCAGATGAAGACCAGAACATTTCAAGAGCAAGTTAACATGGACTATGGCTTTCCTAGTGCATTTTATATACATTCATATATAAATTGAAGTCATGTTGACATGATATAAAGTATAGACTTCCTGATTTTAGAAGATGTATCTGAGTTCCAGTTTGACATTTATGGCCAAGATGACACTTCTTTGTTTCGGGAAAAGTATTTGACAAATTTGTGAAAATGTATGAGTCTACTCGGCTGTTTGCTCAAACACTTACAGTTTTGGTTGTTTCACTTCCTCACCAGTGGCATACAAAATGATAAAAATATATTAAACTAAACTGTTCAAGATCTTTCTTGCTTGGTATTAAAGCTGTTCCAGTTTAGGTGTATCTGAGCATCCGGCCTTATGCACTTTAAAAGCTATTAAACAACCCATGTGGAACAACCATATGAGCTAGCATCCTCCTATTAGTGTAACCCGTTTTTGTGGTTTACAAAAAAAAATTTATGCGAACTTAAGAGCGCGAGAGTCGGCTTACCAAAGGTTGGTTCTGCCTACCCTGTGAAAGATATGAGCATCCAACCCAAAACCTCAAGGCAACGGGTGGTGTAGTCCAAGACTTGTATAAACTACTTTCAAAGCCTAATCACCCATGTGGAACAATTCTATAAAAAGGTGTCTACATAACTTTAAATTGTTACGCGCGTTTGTCATTTGTGCTGTGCTCCTTTCTGTAATTTTAAGGACAAGTTGAGTTGCAAATTTGCCATGCTAAGCCAATTCCATCTAGTTAAATGTGTAATTGCTCCCTATGCTTCCAAGTTGTCCTCGAACTCTAATGCAGCCCTGTACTTGTTTGCACATACTTTTCAATTCTTTCTAGATAAGCATTTTTTAAGAAACTGAGAACTCTTTTCTGTCATATCTTATCCAAAAAGAAAATGATGATGAAGCTGAGATCATAAAAATTGGTATTTTTCTATCTAGATGTTAAGTATTAGACTTGATTAGCTTGGATCACAGAGAGAAAAATTGCCAGGGATCATCTTATAGCTACAATATTTCAACCTTTTCTGTTCATTAGATGTCAGAGATCCTTTAAATATGTGAAAGAACAATTTTGAGTGTTTTTCCACCTGTTGGTTCGTACTTTTAAGTTTTATGACTGGTGGTGACATTCGGTTCAAGGCTTATAAACCTCTTTTTGTGAAGATTGATGTAAGTAAAAAATGTCTTATGGGTCTGGTGCAGGTGCTCAGAGCCTTTGGTTGGATGCTTCCAGCCATTATTATGTCAGCGGTACTTGGAACAGGCACAAATACTATTATCATGGCATTAGCACTTCCTTTGGCGCAGTCTGCTCTTTCATTAGTAATGGATGCCATCTGGGGATGGTCCAATGACGGCCCGCGATCCAAGTCCAAGAAAAAGAAAAGACCCTATGCTAGAGCAGCGAGCAACCCTGGAATAAGAACGAGAGAAGGACAAAATACTCGAAATGGCAAGGGAGTTGGAGACTATCAATCCTGGGCTGCCGCAACTGGTGCATCAGATGGAAAAAATTCACGAAGCACTGTAAATTTTGGTGGTTGGGATGAACTAGACAATCATGGGATGGAAGGACAGTCGAAAAAGCCCCCTAATCGAAGACTGGCTGAACCAACACAGGGGACTGATGGTAAATTGAGTAAGAGAATCGGGAGGAGAGAAACTCCATTGCTATTGAGATTGGTTATTGCTGTTTTCCCGTTCATGGGATCCTGGACCAAGCTATTGTAAAATTTGTAATAAGATTCGGGAGTTTAAGCCCTTTGTAGAGCCAAACCTTGCCGTTTGGCAGCAAACGATCTTTGATTTGGTCCTTGTTGTTTCTCTCAAAGCTAGACTTGAAACCCAAAATCATATTGTTGTACAGATTAAACATAGTTTAGATGAGCTTGTGTTCATTCTTACTCAGTTCGAGCACTCCTGTCCTAAAATAATGCTAGACAGAAAAGCATGGTGATAGACCTTGATTAATTTGTTTTTTTTTTTTCTTTTCTGTCAGAAGGATTTGTCTTCTGTTTCTTCTAGCACTCGGAAATGATATGAAGATATCAATGTAGTGTTTAGCAGTTTCATGGGCTCTTGTTTCGGATTGAAGTGAAACTGGCGAGAAAGGTAATATTTAATTCTTAAATATGATAACTTTCATTTATTTTGTTAGCAATATTTCTGGTTAGAGATATTCTTACTACTAGTTAATAGCTCTCTGGTGTTTCTTTAGGTATAATTGGTTAATCATTTAAAATTCTATGCCACCGCTTTGTAGAGTATGCGTCTAAAACATTATTCAAGGTTGTCCAGCTAGAATTATGCATAGTTTTACCTGGCAATTTCCATTCGGATCTTGTTTCCATATTGACTGGATTGTCGAATCGTGCAGGATAACAAGTGCAGGTACAGGTACGTATACATTTTGTTGTATCTCTGTAATGTAAAGCTCCTAGCGGCCGTTTGGTTGCTGGTTAGAGTTACACAGGTATTAGTAATGTAGGGATTAGTTATGCAAAAATTAGTTATGTAGGATTTAGACCAGTTATGCGAAGATTAGTTATGTAAGGATTAATAATATAGAAATGTAAGGTGAGTATTATTTATTATTAGTCTGGTTTATCCTATTAAAATTGTTAGTATATTGTATATATATATTTCTAGAAAAATCAATACAAGTTTGAATAGAGGGTGTTCTTGTCATTTTGTGTTTTAATACAAGTATTACTAATACACGTATAAGTTATTCCATCTTCTACCTTGCATAAATAATACATGGATTCCCTTATAACTTATTTATGTATTAGTTATGTAAAAAAGAAAAACGCGAACCAAACATTGTATTAAATAATGCTATTTTATGTGAAAAGGAGAAAAAACCAATTAAACATTGTACTTATGCTAGATTCTATGTGGGATCATTTTTCCCATTTTAAACAATGTATAAAGTTATCCTAAATTTAATATATGGATACCTTCTTTCTAACCAGCTACCAAACGACCCCTAGTAATATAGAAGTATACAAAATGGTCTTATGTTAGAATATGGAAACTAAAAGTAAAGGTAAAGAATTTAAACAAAAGGAACTGGAACAGAAAGATTTTCACCAATTACTCACAGGCTTGCCTCCCCTTTGGGAGGGGCCAAACGAACACATATGGTCAAATTTTGTCTTCTTCAAGAATGAAAATGCTCATATTTGTCTTTCAAGTTCACCAGCTCCTCCAAGTTAAATTCCATTGGCACGTTCAATGAATAGATTCTTCTTGAGACGTCTTTTAACTTAAGAATTTCAGCCAATTAAAAGGCGGAGGCGCGGCGTTTTAGGGAGACGTAAGCCTCGAGATATGGGGTAATTTTTAATTTATAAATTAATAACATAGCATAATAACACAAATATATAAAAATACATTAAAAGTCCAAAAAAATTTAATTTTTTTTAAAAACCCATAGAAAATAAAATATCTAGCATTAGTGAATTCGACACATGATTTGAATTGGAAATACTAGGTGAAATCGAATGTTAATCATTAGGCGTGTTTAAAGTGTACATTCGAGTGCTTAGGGGGCGTAAGATCACAGAACTAAACCCCACACGTGAGCCTCAAGGCGTTTTGATAGTGCCCGTCCGGGGACGAGCCTCGAGACGAATCCCAAAAAAACCTTTTAAAACAGAGGCAGATCCAGGTTTTGAAGGTTGCGGGTGCCACTATACATACATAATATACCTACCACAAGCCAAAAAGACCGAATTGGAAGAATAAATCGATTAAATTAGTTTTTGGTTAATTCAAGTAGGTCTTTTATTCACAAATAGGAAAATAAATTTGATTTTAGTTCAACTTTTTTATGCTTCATTTAATTATAATATAGAATAAAATTACAAAAAAAAAAATAATCTCATGAAAGTATGCTTTCAAATAGAAAATTTTCTTAATTAGTAGCTTAATTACTATATATTCTTTGTTTGAGTTGATTAATTGATCATTGTTCTTGGGTTAGTTTTTTCAATATAATTATCGAGCTATATAAAAGTTATTTTCAAAGCAAAAGTTTCAATTTTTATTGTATGAGAATTAACTCAAAACCTCTATCAGGATTATTTTTTTGCAAAAGTCATTAAATAAATTAATGTTGTATCATTAAGAAGAGAAAAATTACATATTACCTAGAATCATTTAAAATTATGCATCACAAGGAATTACTCATGTAATAAGGTATATTTATACAAAGCAAAATGAAGGCTAATATAAAGAACAATTAAAAAAGAAAGAAGATAAAGAGATTTAGCAGCAAATAATAGAAAGAAAAAATAGAAAGGGAAGAAGAGGTGAGGCCCAAGGCCTAACGAAATAGGGATTAATAAGTAATCGAACTCGAATTACTAAGGCCAAGCCAATGAGAGACTGAAGAGGCAGCGTTGAACCACGGCACCCACACGATGTTTGTGCAATCTAGGTGCCACTTTATTAATATAATTGTTTTTTCACACTTACTAAGAATTTTGCCGAACCGTGTGGGTGGCGTATCACTCTTACCTTATAAGGTAAATCCGCCCCTATTTTAAAACACCGATTTCAACAATTACAAGGTTGGTTTAGAAAGATTTTATTCACAACGAAAACCATGACTGCATTAACCCTGCAAAGATGTCCATTGCAACCTAAGACCTCACCTTTCTACCCCACCTTTCAACCTTGCATTTGGATAGCATATATTGTTATGGGGGATCTAGGCTGCCTGTAGGAGTGAGATTATTGTATAGGGTAAAATCGACTTATATTTAATATTTGTATAATAGAGTGATATGTAGAATTACAGACGAATAGAAAGCGATACAGGTGGAAACTAAGACCGGGGGCAGCAGCTTCGGTTGGTACCGGGAAGCCCTCGAAGGGAATTTGCTAATAAAATCAAACGAATTCCTACTATCCGATAGCATTCAATGGAGAATATTGTGCAGAATTAAATACACAATCCGTTTTAGAAAATTTTGGCACTCATAGCCTACCATTATACATTCTTTAATGGCCCCCACAATTGTTATTTAAAAGGAGCTTGATCCTAGGACCTTGTTCCCTAGGTGCAACTATATATAATGACTTCAACAACTATTGTAAGGGATATGAATTTTCTGACAAACTTATACTATATACTATTAAAAAGCTCAATAACACTTGATTTCTTGTCTATTGATATTTGTATTACTACCTTCGGAAGCTCTGCTCCCGGAACCAAGCTTTGTGCTGCCTTATCTCGATTCCAACGTTACGTCTTGCATTTTATTTAATTTATTTATTATTTTAGGATCGAACCAATTCGCTTGTCTATAAACCACGTTACAAATTCAAATGTACCGTTTTATGGGTAAACAATTATGATCCATGACCTTCTTATACTTCTCTTCCATCTAGGCACGCTTCTCCTCAGCAACAGCGGCCTCTTCAGCTTTGGAGTTCAAGGCTGCCTCTAAATTATTCAGTCTTTCAGCAGAGGTAGCCTCGCGCTTGGCAGTTGCAAGAATCGCATTTCAGACCTCAGACCACTTAGCCTTTGCCTCTTGAAATTGTACATTTAACAAGGAGGCCTCTTGGCTAAGGGCCATCGCCTCATGCTCGCTCTGCTGCAACTGAGCCTCCAACTCACCGGCTTCAGCAGCTTGCGCTTCTAGTACTGGAAGGCGAGCAACAGTCTGATCTAGCTCGGCCAACAATTGATCCCGCTCGGATGTGAGTTTTTATTTATCGGGGATGGCAAGGAAGTTGGTTGCGAAGCAAAAATCCAAGTTAGAAATTCTTCCATAACAAATCGAAAGAAAACAAACAACAAGGAGAACGAGTACCATATCGCTGTTGTGTTGTGCATGACATTATTTATCATATACTCCCCTGAAAGAGGGTGTATTTTCTTCTTATCTTTCTCTGAAGCCGGTGACTTTAGGTAATTAGCAAGTTCCACCGGCTGAGACAACAGATGACACTCAGTATAGACCGAGAGGGAGACACTCCTCCTCCTCTGAGGATCCGAAGAAGGGGGCGAATAGTTGTACCCCAAATTCCCATGGTCTGGGGACTGGGTATGAGTGACATCCTTCTCTCGGGTGTCTGCAGTCGGTGGGGGTAATGTAGAAGGTGCTGGTGATGAAGGCATGATTGGCGTAGAAGGAGATGAAGTTGATGGTGGTTTGGAATAAGAAGTAGCTGCGGCAAAGGCACTGCTGGTTGTAGGTTGCTCATCAACCTAAGACGAAAAAGAACCAGTACTCAGCCTCATAGTACTAGGAATAACAACTGGGACTCGAAAGGGAGAATTGGCAGTCTCCACTAGGTCATACTCTCCCTAGAGCGCTTGGGCATCGTCCTCGGTTAGGGTTATAAGATCTTCAGATTGAGTAGTCTGTTGAGCTGATGAAGGTCGTTGTTTCCTCTGTATGGAATCCTCTTCATCATTGGCTTCCCCGTCATCATCAATCACTGTAGTGACTATGGCTGGCTCGGGCACGACACTCTTTACCCTTTTATTTTTGGCCTTGGCCGTAGAGGAATATCACCTTTTTTGTTGCTTGTTCTCAAGCCGGGGACTCCGGGAGGAAGCACTTGAACCAGAAGCGGATACGATGGTGCCTATTCGGGTGAAGGCCTCCTGTTGCAACCTCGGCGCCTCTATGAGACCAGCCAAAATGTCCTCCTCGGGGATGGTAATAAAGTCATGCAGAAGACCTAAATTCAGCGGAAAGAGAAGTTAG